CTCATCCTGATGTTACACTCATCGAGACCTTTCGTTTGAGTACCCACATCAATTTTTCATATATTTATATATATTATATATATGTATATATGAAAAATATATCAAAAATGCATGTGGGTACTCAAATGAAAGCTCTTGATGATTGTAACATCGGGATGAGCTTATATCTTTAAAAATGTCAATATTTCACAAGATACAAGGTCATTTCTTAATAATGTATCTAGAAATAGAGAATTTTCAAATGCAGCCTAAATACTTTTCATAATAAATTTACTATCGGTGCAAATGATATAAAACCTTGAAAAGGCACAAATTCAAGTCAAGACCTTTGCAATGACACTAATTTTCACTAAAAAAACCGATTTTATCATATGATTATCCTGAACACAGGATTCTCTCAATAATATATATTATATAGATAATATATATTATATAGATATATATATTATATAATATAATATAATATAATATATTATATAGATAATAATATAGATTATACAAACAAAAATACCATACCGAAGTGGGTAATGATCTGGAAATTTTTACAAATTTTTTTAAAACAAATATTTGTGCTTTAAAATAAAGCAGGCAATTGTTAAAAAAAATATTTATCACAACTTTGCTAAATTTTAAAATAATACTCCGGTGATAATTGATAAAAACATTAAACTATCGATTTGACATTATTTCTCACAAGTGATACTCGAGTGTCTGTCTAACTTTTATTTAACTCAAATAATTGTTTAATTTTATTGAGAGATAAGAAGTGTCTTAGGTCAGGGGATTAAATAAAACATTAAAAATTATATTTCATCATATTAAAACTCTAGAATTAATTTCAGAAAATAATTATCACAAAAAAACCACCTTGAAGACAAAAACCATTTAAAAAATACTTCACATAATATCTTATCATATCACACTTACAACGCGTTAACTTTTCTTATTCCCTCTAACACAATATTTTTCCGTGATATAAATGCCGATGATCATCATCGACATCATAAATCGACAATTGATACAATCCAGATACGAACTATTGTACTTGAATCCGATCAATTGCGGGCATCGCCAGCTTTAAAAGCCTCTGTCACCTTCTCAGTTAAAAAAATAATTACTAATCAAATGATCATAATTATTATCTCTAACATAAATTTATTATCATCTCGTAAAATATTTACGTTGACGAAAAATTAATAAAAAAAAAATTATGAATTAGCTTTAGACGCACAATTAGTCATCCAGACAATACAAGTCTTCTTATTCTAAGAAAAAAAAAAAACAAATTTATTGACATAGACACTTTACAATTTTTTGATTTTTATAACAATAAAAATCTTGTAAAAAAAATTTTTTTTTAATTTTATGAAAAAAATTACAAGTTAAAATTAATAAAAAATATTTTTTTATGTTAAAAAATTAAAAATAAATTCAGCGTATAATTGCAAACATTTAATACATTAGTGCTATACAATTACATGGGTCATCCCTTTTAGTCATCCCACTTGATCAGCAAACTCAAGATAAAATTCCTTAAACATACATGCGTATAAAATAATAGAGGAAGTTGGCGATGAACTGAATCCGTATGTGGGTGAAAAAGTGTGACACTTTATTATTATATATAGAGTCGACATACCACTTAGCAATCTATCAATACATTAGAAAAAATATATATACGTGCATATAAATATAAATATAAATAAAAATGTCTGGTCCTATTAGATTAATTTACATTAATTTACCTTATTGTTTACCAAGTGACGCATTAATGCATTAATATAGTGAGAATTACATATTTATTACTTCACCCGTAGACTTTTATGCCTATTTACGGATTCTTCTGACGTTTGTTTTATTTATTAAAATTAAACGGGCGATAAATATTTGTAACTTAAAATTAATTCTAATTTGTTCAATATTAATTGTACATTTTTATTTTGAGATTAGAAATTTTATTAAATTTTTTTGTAATTAATTTTTTTAATTAATTTTATTAAATTTTTTTCAAATTAATTTTACTAAATTTTTTTTAAATTAATTTTATTAAGTTTTTTAAAAATTAATTTTTTTAATTAGTTTTTTTCTAATTAATTTTTTTTTTTTAATTAATTTTACTAATTTTTTTAAATTAATTTTTTTAATTAGTTTTTTTCTAATTATTTTTTTTTTTTAATTAATTTTTTTACATACTCGTTAAAATTTTGCACAAATTATTACTATTAATTAATGTTGATGTTAATGCGTACAATATAATATTTAGTACGTAAGTAGTTTAAAAAAAAAGTTTATCTTTTTTACTGATACAAATATTTTTTTTTATTTACATTACTGATGAAGCAAAGGACTCCTTTGATACTTAATCAGTTGGTGATCTCTAGCATCGACACTGGCTTATCTTCTTTGTACAGTATACTGTAGTAATACACTTGTATTGCATTGCGAGTGGCTTTGGCTTCTGAAATAGATATTACGCTAGCTGCAATGAGCTCTGATTATCATTATTAATCTCACTCGCGTAAGAGTACCGATTTCATTATTATTTTTTTATTTAACCGCATAGTTTTGATTTTTTTTTAAGTGATTGTAGGAATCACGGCGATAAACTACCACTTGATGATATGTTTACGCTTAATTCAACTAGAAAAAATATATATTATTATCTTTATTTTTAAAAGTCGTTTTAGGATTATGATAACGGTATCGGATTTACTTTTAAATAGTTATTATTTTTTTTATGGAGTAAATTGACTTTGAGTAATTTTTAGTTGTTCTTTTTTAAGAACGGAAATTTTTTTAAGTAGAAAATAATTTTAATGATTTACAATGAATTTGTTAAAATACTCATCGATGTGCAACTAAGTTCATTCATAAAAAAATCTTTCCATTAAAATTAAATTATATCAAACACAATAAATTTTTCGTTAAGTCTCTGTTATCTTAACTTACAAATAAATTTCGAGTAAATTCTTTGAACTCTTTGTAGTGAAATCTTATGAACCGATAAAAAATTTTAACATAGTAGCAATAAATCAAAGCAAAGTAGAGATCAATGTTTTTAAGAATTTTTTTTAATAAAATATTGTGATTTATTGTTTATTATTGTCGCTCTAAACAAGTTTATCATAAGACTTTTTTTGATATTGTTCATTTTGTATAAAATATCCTAATTAACTAAAATATTTATAATTATCTATAGTATAAGAGAATCATAAAAATTTGTTTCCAGAATAGTCACATGATAATTGGTTTGTTTAGTGAAATTAAGTGTCATTGCAAAGGTCTTGACATAAATTTGTACCTTTTTAAGGTTTCATATCATTCTCACCGATAGTCAATTTATTATGATAAGTATTTAGGCTACATTTAAAAATTCTCTATCTCTAGGTACATAATTAAGAAATGACCTTGTATCTTGTGAAATATTGACATTTTTAAAGATATAAGCTCATTCTGATGTTATACTCATCAAGACCTTTCATTTGAGTACCCACATCAATTTTTCATATATTTATATATTTTATATATATGTATACATGAAAAATATATGAAAATGTATGTGGGTACTTAAATGAAAGCTCTTGATAAGTGTAACATCGGGATGAGCTTATATCTTTAAAAATATCAATAATCAAGAAATGACCTTGTATTTTGTGCACGGTTGACATTTTTAAAGATAGAAGCTCACCCCGATATTACACTCGTCGAGACTTTCATTAGAGTACCTACATCAATTTTTCATATATTTTATATATATTATATATATGTATATATGAAAAATATATCAAAAATGCATGTGGGTACTCAAATGAAAGCTCTTGATGAGTGTAACATCAGAATGAGCTTATATCTTAAAAAATGTCAATATTTAAGAAAGTACAGTTCAATTTAACAAAAGTCATTATTTAATAAAGCAAAATTTTAATTTTTATAGTTCACAAGTCACGGCAGTCACATACATAGCGACTGCAAGGTTGCTAGTTATTATTATTATTATTATTTTTATATCTATTTAACAAGTTTTATTTAGCAGCAGGATGTTCCGGAACCGGAAGATACTGCTAATCAAAGCTCGTAATTGCACTACATTGTTAAGCATTTAAAAAGATAAATCGTTTCGTTAAACGATCTACACTCTCTTACATAATTATTAAATTAGACAAATATATACATTCATATTATACAAACAAATAATTAAAAAAAAAATTATTTTTTTTTCATAGACTTTAATTTTAAAAGTATATTGATATAAATATAAGTATATATTTACACTAAATACATAAATAATTATTAAACTTTAATATTAACAATGTTTTTAAAAATAAATATATTTCATCGTGTGCTAAATAATATTATTTTTTTATCGATTCAAAGATTGAATAATCTTCAATTACAAAGATTACCTAGAAATTCCATAATAAAACTAATCCATATTTTACTACAATATAAAACTAATTATATCACATATTATTATTTTAAGAAATATCATTTCGTCGTTATCGTCTTTATTATTCATCTTCAATAAAAATATTAAGATTATTCAATTATAAATAATAAAGACGTAACCTCGTTAACTTGGATATTTGTTTAGTCCATTTCAACAGTATATTACACTTATTTTCTAATTTAATTCCATCCAAACTCCATGTCTTCTATCTTTATGTTCAGTCCTTCTAAAGTTGAATCCATTTCTGCTTCATTGAAGTCTTCTTCGAAATTAATATGCTGAAATATAATAATAAATAATAAATATAATATTCAACATTTACTCTATGAAATTAAATAAACAGTACGTAATTTTTTCTTTATAATTATTTGTCAAGAAATAATAATAAAATATTTTGTGGACCTTTCAATAAAGAAAGTAATCAAAATATTTGTTTTCATTTTTCAAGAACACATATTATGTATTTAATAAACATTTATATATATGTTAGTCAGTGTGATGAAAGTTGATTTTTAAATGAAAATAATGATTATCAATTTTCAATATTATTTTAGATCATTTTTATGTAAAAAATTGATAATTGCTTAGATGGACGGAAAATTAAGTTATTAAAAAATTTTTTTTCTGATTTTATTCTTCATGATTTACGAATCATCCATTAAAAGTTTGTAAAATTCAATATTCATATTTTTTTTTTGCACTTTTGAAATAAAAAAAAAAATATTTTTTTATTAATATTTTTCAACCATTAATTTATAATCATACCATATAATTTTTTTCTTAAAAAAAAATTATGAAAGACAAAAAAAATTTTTCATGATATAATTTCAACATTTGTTGTGAATTTTTCCCAAACTTTAAATAATTTTTCAATTTTTTTTTACATCCATAAAAAATATATTAAAAAAAAAGTTCAATACCTTAACTTTCGAAATTCTTTCAATTTTATATAATAAATAAAATCCGCTCTAAAATAAAAACGCAGGTGCCCCGTATCAAAAAAATGACGAATCAACGCATACCTGCAAAACAGCAATTTGCGTTGAATCACCGACAAAAAGTATCTGTGTAGCATTATCTCCAGAATTTCTTCCTTCTATCAACAGCTCACAATCCTTAGCCTGCAAAAAAATTAAAATAAATCCCAAATTTTCCACAAAACTCCTAAAAAAAAATAAAATATATGGTAATCATTTACAAGTGGGGTTTTTTTTTATTCTGCTTGATTTTACGGCTCATTTATGATAAAAAATGTTGTGAAGAAAAAGTAAAGATTTTGATAGCTTTTTTGCCTTCAAAAGTTGGAAAAAATTTTGGCTCTCATATTTTTGGATAAAATTTCTATTTTATATTTTTTTGAAATATATTTTTTTTTAAAGTACATAAAAAACGAACAATTAAAAAAAGTTCAATATCACAATTTTCTAAAAAACTTATAAAATTATTAAAATTGTGATAATCAACTTTTTTTTTTTTTTTAATTCATTTTTTTATGTATTTTTCAAAAAAATGTACATTAATAAAAAATAGAAATTTATTTACATAAAAAATATTTTATATTTATAAAAAATATTCCTACATTTTCCTCAGTTTGATCATTGCTCAAATTATCACAATTGGACTCAAAAATCCCCTCGATCCCCTCAATTTCTTCCGTCTCAATTTCACCTTCATTTTCATCACCATCACCATTTAACTCTTCATCACCATCCTCAACTAAAGCGTGAGCAGTCCGTTTATGCATCACAAGAGTGCTGTTCTGTCGATACCTTTTAAAGCAGAGCTTGCACTCGAAAGGTTTTTGCTGGGTGTGAACCAAGTGATGTTTGTAGAGACTAGAATATTCAGTGAAGCGTTTGTCGCAATTTTCAATGGTACAAGCATAGGGTTTTTCCCCAGAATGAATCCTCACGTGGTTTTTATAATTAGTCGCACTAGCGAAGGCTTTATTGCAAGTGCTGCATTGATAAGGCCGCTCGCCAGTGTGAGTCCTCACGTGAACTTTTCTGATATTCGAAGTAGTAAAAGACCTCCCGCACCCTTCATAAGGACAGACGAAGGGCCGCTCGCCGGTGTGGGTCCTAACATGCTTCAGCAAGTCCCCCGAGGTCTTGAAACTTTTATTGCAAGACTCAGCACTGCACTTGTAAGGTTTTTCCCCAGTGTGAGTCCTTAAGTGGGCTTTAAGGCTGTACCCGGTCGAGAAACTCTTATCACAGCTGGAGAAGGTGCACTCGTAGGGTTTCTGCCCGGTGTGTGATCGCTCGTGGACCTTCAGGTGATGCAAAGTGCTGTAGACTTTTTCACAGCCGTCTCTCGGACACGGGTACTGAGTTCTTTGACTTACCGCGCTTTGGCTTATTTTTTTTACAAAAATTTTATCTTTATTCGGCGACTTGCCGCATTTTTCACCGCTCAGTTCCCAGAGCTGGTTCTCTGAGTGACTGGTCAACATGTAGGTCGTCGTCGCGTCGTCTATTATTTCCACGCCTGGAATCTCTGGCTGGTTTGACGATCCAGCGTCCGGTTGCTCAAGTGTGTTTGATAAGTCTGAAAACTCCCCGATTAAAATCGTACGCGTTGCTTTGTCCAGGGGGTTTTTTAGCTCCAGGTCTTCTGGGTCGTTCGCGACGAAAGCTTGGCTTCCATCTGGTAATGTTATCGCGGTCAACGTCGCTCCTAGCAGTGGGTGCTCGTTTACTAGTATGCCTTGCACTTGGGACTCCTCGTTGTTTACCATCACTGATAAACATTCTAACACGTCCTCGGAAGTTTCCTGTTGATTTATTTTAAATTTATTATTGATTATTTTGATAATTAAATTAGCAGAAATTTTATGGTTCTTAAGATTTTTTAATTGATATAATTTATTTTTTGTTTATAAGAAAAATTTTTAAAAATCTTGAAATTGTCAGTTACTGTATTTTGAAATTGGGCACCCGACAATTACAGAATATAATTTTAAATAAATAGATAGATACGAACTATGATATAATTTATTAAAAATATTTTCTTGCTGTCAGCTGATTTCAGTATCATAAATGTAGCTGATAATTATCAAACTTGGATTGAATGAAAAATTAATTAGCCTGGTACTTTTAATTTTATTAAAATAATAAATTATGAATAAATAATTTTGGTATTTAAATTAGCATAACACTGAAGTTAGCAGACGTCTAAAAACTTTTGATTTTTTTTTTTTAATTAAATTACAACTAAAAAGATATTTTTAAAAAATTGCACTTGTAGTTTTTCAAGTTTTTAACATGGGGTATTTTTTTTTTTAATTGTTTAATTGAAATTTTTTGGATAAAAAAATTTCTAAAAATTTTGAAATGTCAGCTAACTTCATTTTCATAAATTAGCAGATATCTGATGATTTTTAGAATTTTTTATGCAAATTAATTGATGTAAAAAAATGATTTTTTATATTTTTTTACTATAGATTAAATGAAAAATGGATTTAAATTATTAGACTAATCAATTTTTTTTTTAATTCATTTATTAAGATTTTTCTATTAATCTCTAAGATAGACAATTATTTTTCAGCTAAAATTATGACACTATAATTAGCAGGCTTTCGATAATTTTTAGAATTTTTCTTAACTTTAAATTAACTTATTGAAATTAAAAAAATTAAATAAAATTTTTTAGAAATATTTTCTCAGTAGGTTCTTATCTACTGACTTAACATTATAAATATTGCTGATAATTATCCAACATGAATTGAAAGAAAACTCTAAGAAAAAAAATTAATTAGCCTGATATTTTCATAAAACTTAAATCATCTGACATTTGACCAATTTTTATTTTTATTTAAGAAATAAATAAAAAAATATTCTATAAAAAATAAAACTTATTGTTATTGTACATTAAAATTAGTGTTTTGAAAATAATCAGACGTCATTTTCATAAAAATGATAATAAAAAAATAATTACTCACATTAGATTGATGTAAAAGCGAAAAGTTAGGTTTACAAATAAGATCCCTAGTCCCATCGTCTTCCAAAGACATGACATTAAATAAATAATCCAAAAAATGTCATAAACGTTGATAAATAAAAATTTATAGGTTACTTTTTGCTAAATTCACCAACAAAATAATTATCTATTCCAGCGCTTAACTTTTGACCATTCATTTTTTAAATCAGCTGTTCCATTGCAATGATAATATTATGATTCAAGTGTTTTATAATCACCAGCAAAGATTCTAAACACTTTTATATATTAGTTCATTATTCAATAACATAAATTGCCATAAGACTTGAAAAAGTGAAGACTTAAGGCTTAAGTCTCTGTATTAGAGAGAGAGCGAATAACACGGTGTTTTACGACGATGCTGCCGCCCTGGTAGTAATTTGTGCGTCTCCCAACTTTTGATAGCAAAAAAATTAAATTAGCCGACATTTGAACATTTTTATAATTTATTTTATTGATAAATGATTTTAAAAAAAATTTTCACATGTAGAAAATTTGAAAAATTACACGTAGAATTTTTAAAAAATAGTTTTTTAGTTATAATTTTTAATTAATAAAAAAAAATCAAAAATTAACTTAATTTATAATTTATAATTCTAAAGTTAGCCGACGTTTTTAATTTTTTGATATTTTTTTCATTTATTAAATAATTACTAAAAAATATTTTTTTTTAATTGCACTTAAAGTTTTTCAAGTTTTTTACAAGTTATATTTTTTTTTTTTATTATTTTGTAATAAGATTATCAATAAAAAAAAGTTCTAAAAATTTTTAGATGGCTAATTTAATTTTCTTAAAATAAAAAGAAAACAATTTTATATAATTGATTTTAAAATTTTAATTCTATTTTTATTTCAATTAAAATTTATTATTTTATATTTTATAAATGTAATTTTACATTTTAAATTTTGGCGCTATTTTTTTTTCAAAATGGCACGCGCAAATAAGAGCGACAGCGCTCCTTACGGCACTTACGGTACTAATAATAATTAGAAATTCGAATTTTCAAGTTTGAGCTTGTTTGTGGTGACGACGCTAACGGTTTGCGATGCTAAAAAACGTTTATTGTCTTATCAACAAACATAAATTACAAACAATAAATAATAATAGCAAAAAAAGTTTATAGTGTCACAAAATAAAAATTGTTTTATCACCAGAAACATTCAAAGGTAAGAGAATTTTTAAGTTAGTCATAAATAACCCCAAAATAAATAAAATAACCAAAAAATAAAACACACCCATCAGCCAACTGTCATCTTAAATAATAAATTTATTTTATTTATAGGCAAAAAATTACAAATATTAATCATGGTTCTTAATAAGAACGACCTGGACCGGAAGTTCTCTCCAAATAAGTCTAAAAAAATCGGAAAACGCCGCTCGTTAGGCCGGGGACCTCCCAAGCCCAGCACCAGCGGTAGCACCTCCAAAGCATTGAAAGGCGATGAAGAGAAAACTAGCATCAAAGTTATCGTTCGTGTGCGACCTGCTAATGATCGGGAAGATCAAGATAATTTTCGCACCGTCGTTAAAGTCATCGACGATAAAATGATGATTTTCGACCCCAAGGAAGAGGAAAATCCGTTTTTCTACCGCGGCGTGGTCCAGAAAGGCCGCGACCTTCTTAAAAAACAAAACAAAGAGCTCCAGTTTATTTTCGATCATGTTTTCGACATAACTGCTACAAATGAAGAAGTTTTCGAGGGAACTACTAAGGAGATCATCAATGACTTGCTAGAAGGTTATAATTGCTCTGTCTTTGCTTACGGAGCGACCGGAGCCGGGAAAACGCACACGATGCTTGGCAAAGATCACGATCCTGGGATAACTTATCGAACCATGGCGGAGTTATTCAACCAGATAGATACTCAGAGTGAACATCGGGATTTTAATCTGGGTGTTACTTATTTAGGTATTAATTTTATTTTTTATTTTTTTTTTTTTTTTTTTATTGGTAGAGTAGAAAAAAATTTTTTTTAATTAGAATATTAATTTTTCATCTATATTTATTATCATAGAAGATGAATTTTAATACCTGAGAACCTTTAAATATTTAAATGAAATTTTATTTAAATTTACTCAGTGAATATGTAAAAATATTGTTGAGAGAAAATTAAACATGGCATATATTCACTGAGTTAAAATTATTGTTTATTTATGAGACGAAATTTAAAATTAATAGTATATTATGGAATTAATTTTTCATTTAATTAAATTGGATAAATTAAAAGCCATTTAATTTTTATTCAATCAATTTTTTAGATTCTATTTCATTTTTTTTTTTTTTTTTTTTTTTCTTTTTTTTTTTTTTTTTCCAATTAAATCAAATTCTAAAATAGTAAAAGTATTTTTCATGTTGAAAATTGAGAATTGAGAGAAATTTTTTACAATAGCGTGTTACAAATAATAATAATAATAATTAGAATCTTGCAGTCACTATGTGACTTGTGAACTATAAATAAATAAAATTTTGCTTTGTTAAATAATGATTTTTGTTAAATTGCATTATACTTTATTAAATATTGACGTTTTTAAAGATATAAGCTCATTCTGATGTTATACTCATCAAGAGCTTTCATTTGAGTACCCACATGGATTTTGATATATTTTTCATATATACATATATAAAATATATATAAATATATGAAAAATTGATGTGGGTACTCAAATGAAAGGTCTCGATGAGTGTAACAT